CAGGCACGTGCCCCTCTCTGGTTGAATTCAAGTGCCCCATTCACATTAGCCCCTGCCCCGCTGCCATACCTGCCTTCTCTGGACCCTGCCTTTGGGGCTCACCCTGCCTCGGAGTGTCTGCATAGCTCCATAGCCCCCCGTCGGTGCTCCCGGTGCCGAAGCCGTGCACGGTGGCTACCTGCTGCCATGGCTCGGGAGAATCTGTACGGAGAAACAAGTGTCCGACGAACGGAATTCCTTCTTGGGAACTGCTCCTTTCCCGCAGGCCTGTCCCTCGGCCCCACGAGCCCCCAGGGCCGGGTCACGAGGCCCGAGTGACAGGGCTAGCCTTTTACAAACACGCCGGAGGGCGAGGCCTTGCACGGCAGTGAGAGAGAGCCACAAGGGCAGGGCGAGCTGGCTGCGCCGGGAACCTGCGGGGTGGTATTTTTCAGGGCCCGAAAAGCAGCACAGTGGGTCTCTCCCTGTCAGCTGTGTTGCAAATGCCGCTGGGTACCCAGAATGCCCTGCACTAGCTGGGAGGAGGCCTGCAGGCTCCGGTGGGATGGCTCAGAACCGGGGCCCGGAGACCAGCGGGGCCCTGCTTCTGCTGGAGGTGGGGCTGTCGTGCGTCCGGCCGGCCCCACGTCTGGTTTCTGCTCTCCAGTGTGAATGGCATCTCCAGCCTGGCGCCCATCAGCCACTGCCAGCACCTGACTGAGCTCTACCTGCGCAAGAACAGCATCCCGAGCCTGGACGAGCTCTTCCACCTCAAAGGCCTGCCCCGGCTGAGGGTGCTGTGGCTGGCCGAGAACCCCTGCTGCGGCCTGGACCCCCACCGCTACCGGATGACTGTGCTGCGCAACCTCCCCAGCCTCCAGAAGCTGGACAACCAAGGTGGGTGTCTCTGGAGGACTCGGGGTGGCGGCCTGGGGAGCTTCGCGGGGGCGTGTTGCAGGCCATGTGCACGCCCTGGGGCGGCCGCATCCTCGTAAGAACGCGCCGTTGGCCCGTGCGGGGGTAAGGGAGCACAGCGGTACCCCGTTCGGCAGCTCGCCCCTTCGGCGGTTACGGGACTCCGCTCTGCTCTTGCAAAACGCGCGTGCTGGGCGTGGATCTGCTCCCGCTGTGCCGGGAAGTGGGACACGTTGTTGTTTGGTGAAGGGATTCTGTCCCCCAGCCTCTCTGCAGCCCCTGATGCTGGGGAGACAGGGCGGGGGCAGAGACCTCTCCTTCAGCAGCCATCTTTCTTTGGTGCAGGCGGGGCTGCCAAGGCCAGGGGGAAGGGAGGACAGCGCAGGGTTAGGGCAGGCCTGCACAACATGCGGCCCGCAGGGGCTCACTGTACAGCCCGTGACAACTACGGGCGGCACAGCCCTATCCGATCCGCCGGCTGGGCGGAGGAGCGGAGTGCCACCGGGGAGGGGGGAGGGC